TCCTATAAGGTTCCTTTAGAAAATCTATAAGATTCCTTTAGGCATTCTATAGGATTTCTATAGGATAACTATAAGATTCCTATTTGTTTCATTTAAAAATCTTGCAGTTTTCCTATAGGATTTCTTTAAGAATCTTATAGGAAACATATTAAAATTCCTATAGAATATTTATACGACTCCTATACGATTCCTATAGGATTCCTAAAGGATATCTATTGAAATAATCCTATAGGATCCTATAGATGTGACGAAAAATCTATAAGATTCCTATAAGATTTTCTCCTATAGGATCCTATAGGACATTTTTGTAAGGGATATAGCTCTTCAGCGTGCATTAATGTAGAGAGTGGTGTCCCTCAGGGGTCAATTCTTGGCTCCATTTTATTTCTTATTTACGTCTCTCCTTTGAGCAATATCATTAGCAGTCATGAAGTTCGATATCATGCCTATGCCGATGACACTCAACTCTATCTTAGCTTCCATGTCAACCACTGGTCTGAAGCCAAGAAAACCATTGAAGCATGTGTTCGTGATGCTCAGTCCTGGTTGTCACAAAACATGCTCTTCTTTAATCCTTGTAAGACTGAAGTTCTCTATTTTCATTCAAAGTACCTTAGAAGACCACCTCCGATTAATTGTGTTGTAGTTGGTAACAACAATGTCCTACCATCTACCAAAGTCCGTAATATAGGGGTTGTTTTTGATCCTATAATGAAGATGGAAAAACACATATACACCGTTTGTAAATCGGTTTCATATCATCTGCGCAACATCAAGCATATTCAAAAGTTCCTAACAAAAAATGCTCTTCTGAAGTTAGTTCATGCACTTATAACATCGCGGCTATATTATTGCAATGCAATTCTGTATGGTCTTCCCGCCTGTCGTTTAAATAGACTACAGCTATGCCTTAACATGGCAGCTCGTTTAGTCTCTGAAGTTTCCAGGCGTGAACATATTTCACCTGTTCTCCATCATCTACACTGGTTACCAATTGATAAGCGCATCACATTCAAGATTCTGCTCATGACGTACAAAGCCCTCCACAACAAGACTCCTGAATACATTTCTCAACTTCTAACGTCACGTTCTGTAACTTGTAGTAGGTCTTTGAGATCAACGACCAATAGATTCATACTATCCGTTCCAGCATCGCAACTCAAAGCTTACAGTGATAGGGCCTTTTCTGTCGCTGCACCAAGACTTTGGAACACCCTACCAGCCTCTATCCGTGAAGCAACTTCCATTCATACATTTAAGAAGAAACTTAAAACTTTTTAAAATTTTTGTAGTTTTTGTATTTAAGTGTTATGTTTTTTGTTCCTTAAAGTCGCAACTCCCTTACTTGAGCCGGCGTCGCCACCTTAGCAGTGCACGGTAGTAGAGCCAAGGCTTATCCAAGGTGGAAGCTACCTCAGCCCAGCATACTGTCGCCGGAGTGCCTGCGTGTACGCAGTCGTGGTGGTGGACGCTGTCTCAACAACAGGAGTGCGCATTTTCATGCTGCTGCTTGGTTTTTTCCATTCTTGGTTTGCTTGTTTTTGAAGGCTTAATTTATCATTTTATCAATTATTTATTTATTTATTTATTTTTATTTATTTTCTATTTGTTTATTTATTTACTTTATTCATTTATTTATATTTATTTAACTTATAATATATAAAAAAAATATTCTGATTAATATAGGCTCAATAATATAAGATATAATATGATTTAATTTTTTATAATTCATGGTCCTACCTTTTTTCAGCGCCTTGAGACGATTTTATTTTGGAAGGCCCACTACAAATATCCCACCATTACCATTGCCATTATAAAGTTTAATCCAATCCATTTAAACCTGTCAAAAATACTACTGTACAATGTAGCCCACCAGTACAACAGTTTAAAATGAAATAGAAATAATGTTTTGTTGTATTCATTATCACTCATGGGCAAGTACTGTTTTGTTGTTGTTTTCTTCTTTTTATATTGTATTGAAAAATACAATCCAATGCAATTCAAAAATTCCAATGCAACATTTTAAAAAGAAGAAAGTAAATCTGTTCATACAAAGGAAAAACTTCATAAAATATAATATTATTTCTTAACACAGTATGATGTTATTTCAAATTAGGTGACAACATTCATCAAACAGAAACAATTCTTCATAATACTTTCAATTGATTCATGTTTTTATCCACGACCTTATGATAGTGTTGAAATTTACTCAAGCGGAGGCTTATTATTGTGTAAAAAAACTGCCACCTAGCTATTTGTTTTGATGTTGCACTCACTATAACAGCTTTGGTTTGGTGACTAATTCGATGTATTGAATATTTTCGAGCCTCAACCCACAGTCTATATGTAATTTAATACTTTTATTGGCTGTATGTTTGTCAACAAATTTTGTTTTAATATTCCTATTTTAATGTGTAAGTTTTAGTTATTTTGATTTCCTTTGGTGTACTACATGCCTTTGTAATTTTTCTTTCACTAATCACAATTTAATTTCTTTTACTAATTAAACAGTATTATTATAATAGTAATAACAGCATCAGAAACAATTTCATAGATACATTACAGTTAATAGTAATAGTAACCATTAGTTAATATCTATAATATAACAAAGGGCATATGAGCTCCTCGCAGTCAACGGCTAACCATTAATTAGTTTAAGGAATAGGAGTAGTTTAGCCTCATTGTTATTGTTAAAATGATTACATTTTATTTTATTTTATTATTTTTGTTGTTTATATTTTCTATGTTTACCTGTATTATTTATGTGTAAAGCGCATAGAGACAATGTGCAGTATGCGCTATATAAACATAACATTATTATTATTATTATTATTATTAATTTATCCCGAATAAAAATCATGGCATTAACCATGATAATTATAATTGACAAAATATTGCTTGTATTTCTTACTCTTACTATTGTATACTGACACTAGTTTCTCTTGAGTAAAAACCATCAACCTATTTCCTTGAAACCATGATAGGCCTATTTATGCTATTTATTGTATTGTAGTTAAAAGTTTTTTATGTTTATATTTCTGAATGAGGCAGCTGACTCTCAATGAGTTATAGTAAAATTTTGCTTAAGCTGCCCCTGACCAAAATTTTTGTTGTACTGTACCTTTTGTAAATGTGTATTGGTCAAATAAATAAATGAAATGAAATATTGTAAACCTTAGCATAATTCAATGATGTTTTTGGTATTTTATTTATTTTTACAGGTTTTATTATTTGTGGAACAATTGGAGCATCTATTATTCTAGCGGGTATAATTGTTGTTGGTAAGTTTGACAGATTTTAAGACTTCTATATGTGGAAGTCCCTCCTTAAGCCCTATATTTTAAATTCCTGGATCCGGCAATTGACTGTAAACATTATAGTGAGGCCTATGTAGCGCAAGAGAATCATTCATCACTGTGAAGATAGTATTTAGGAATCGGACTATTTCCTTTTTGTATGGGTGGCCACCATAGTCATATTTAGTGTGAAATCTGTGTAATAATACTTAATATTGAATAAATTCGTTGGATTCAGTAATAGGTGAATATATGGTTCTTTTATGATGATCCAATAATCCAACATTGCAATGCTCACAGTCAATATATCGTCACTTATTGCTAATCCTCACTGCAATCTTACGCAAGACTTACAGCAAATGTGTAAAGGTTAACAGGTCTGTAGATGTCCAGGAGGCATTTTGGAAAAAAAAGAAAAATAATTTTTTGGGCTATACAGTGTACAGATAACATTTAGGGCTTGAGGCATTTAATAGAGACAACTTTCATGGGCGGAGGCACAAAAAAATATTTTTCAGGCCTGTGGACCCCCTCCCCCAGCATGAAAACTTTAAAGAAAATGACCTAGCCAGCAATACTTCACCTTTTTTCCATACAATTTTAATTTTAGTGGGCACCATTTAGGTCAGTTATATGAACAGATATACATGAATATGCATGATTGACTTCCCCTCGCAAAAGGTGTATCGGGTAGGCTGCAGTGTGTGAGAAAGCTATGTTGGAGGCTAAAATCTCCAAAATAGGCCTTGGTGGTCAAGACTGTTAAAAATAATGAACTATTGTAATTGTTTAAATGGTCATGCTCCGTCATATTTATCGAAAAATTTTGTTTTTAATTATAATTTGCATACACATTGTACTCGCAGTCAAAGTAAAAATACACTAATTGAATACACCTGGAATAATATGCAAGGTAAAAGAACTTGTATATATACCGATCTACTAAATTATGGTATAAACTCCCGGATCATACTAAAACCAACTTTAAATCTATGACACTTTCAAATTTTAAGCATTCTATTTCAAATCCTCAATAATTTAACATGGTTTTCTCTTACCTTGGATATCCATATGTATTATTTAATTTTTTTATTTTCCTTGAGTTTCTTTCAATGTTCCTTTTAAATCTATTTTAATTTGTAGTTAAGTTATCCATATTTTTTGGTTACCATATGTATATATTTGCTTTTAAAATTTTGTGGTTAAGAACTGAACCACTTTGGAAACCAGTACTATGTATTGAAAGTGTGTATTCAGTATAAAGAAAGAATAAATAAAATAATTATAATATCCCAATACGTAACTGTTTACATACAATGTGGTCAATATTGAGCAACATTGAATCTGGCTATTTGAGTATAGTATTGTAATACTGTAGGCCTACAGTAGTTATTACATGTGTTGTAGCAATTGTATGCCCCCTATAGTAGTACTGATTCTCATGTTCAAGCTCTTTGTCACGTAAAAAGTTTACATGAAATTCCGGTTCAATGTACATTATTATAGATAAGAATGTCAAAATAATGATAAATAATAAATAGCAGTAATCAAAGAAATAGCAGTAATTATTTCCATCTTATCATTTCTTCCACAGATTATTTTTGGGGTAAGTACCACTTCAGATTTGTCAATATAAATATACAAAATTCAATTCAATTTAGAATGTACAGTAGAACTTAAGCCACTCCTGTCTAATTTCACTCAACAATGGACTGCAGTATACCACTGTAAGTTGCGCAACCGAAATGATCAGATACCGTATTTGCATCCCTGTCTATATAAAGTTTTATTAAATTTCTTGTATTTAGTGTACTTTATTATCTCTTGTCTTCAAAAAAAATTAATTTAATTTAAGTTTTGATTTGTTGCACAGTTATCATTATATGTGGCTGTATTGTTCTGACTCCGAGTGGAGGTTATGTTGTGTACGTCAAAGTTGGTAAGTTTGACTTGTATTTATACTTCATGTCTTCTACCAGTTCTCGTTTATAAGATTGAAATAATAAAAATTTGGGGAGAAAAGAAATATTATATGTATTTTCTACATATTAGATTATCCATAGGTATATTCAATTAAATAAGCCTCTGAAACTCCTAAATTGTCATATTTATTGGGGATCCACCCCCTGGACCTCTTTCGAAACATTATAATGACACCCAACTACACCCAATTTGCTCTCGTCGAGGACCTAACACCCCCCTTCCCAAATCGTACCTTGCCCCTCACTTTCCCCCTCATTGTCAGGATTCAATATTTGTCATCATTAGGAAATTATGTCATGATCAGGAATGAAAAATTATCCATATTTGTAAGCTTATATGCACAAGTACCAAAGTGTTTAACCAATCAAAACACTACCTCTAGTAGGTGACATAGCTATTAATAGACTAAAGATCAAAGCATTCTTAACTGAAATGTCCACAGATTGATCTCAGATAAGATAGTATAATAACTGATAATGACATAATTAATGTCGAAATATTGAATCCCAACATGATGGCGTACATTTCGATACTTGGAGTATGTATTATACTATCAAAGACTTCTTACCCTACTGATCAAAGCGAATTCGATTCAACTCGGCCACAAGTCAACTCGGCCACAAGTCAAACTCGGCCACAAGTCAAACTCGGCCACAAGTTAGCTCGGCCACAAAAAGTTTGGTTACAGTCAACTTGGCCACAAGTCAACTCGGCCATAAGTCAACTCGGCTACAAATCAACTCGGCCACAAGTCAACTCGGCCACAAGTCAATTGCAGCCTATTTACTTGTACTACACTTTGAAGGAGTAATTCATGAAGTATAAAATACTAATTCTTTAAGTATTAAACTTATTGGCCCGTATTCTCGAAAGTGGACCAAGTTAGTCCGGGATTAACTGTGTTGCTGCTATTATTGTTGTCATGGTTGTTATTATTGTTGTTGTTTTTATTACCGTTAGTTTTAATATTAATTATTAGTCTTAGCATTAACATTATGTATTGTTTAAATTTTTGCTATTATTATTTTTACCATATAAATAATAAATAATTCTCAATTTTTTTTATTAATATTATTATTATTCATATTATTACTAGATGCTATGTGCCCCACCTAATTTTAACGTAGGCCTTATTCTTGGCCGTGGTTCTAAAGAAAATAGTATCGAAATGCACGCCATCATTCATTTGATTTTAGTTCTATTCAAAATAAATTTTTAACATTTGAAAAATCATAATGTGGTTTTTCTATTTCAATTTTTATGATTAGGTCTACAGTACGTACTCATGTTTTGTCATTGTTTTAACATGAAAAAATTAAACATTAATATATGTGTTTTTCTTAATTATTAAGATTGCTTAAATTGTTAATGTTACATTATTGTCAGATTTTATTCCATTCTGTAAGTGGCGGGTTTTTTCTGTTGAATAAGAGTACTGTGTGAAGAAATGAATACAACGATCTCACAATGATGATCAGAATTTTACTAAAACATATATGTATAAGTTTTTTCATTTCAATCATATTGAAGAAAATAGATGTAAAAACTGAGTAATATTTACATTTCATTTTAATTATTTTATTCTATATATAACATATATATGTATATATTATAAATAACTTGTGGCCGAATTGACCTAATTCATTACTTACATTTAATACAGGCATCATTATTGTTTTCAAGTATACTTTGTAAACCTAAAACATTGCCATTTTTTTTTGTATAATGCACACAATAATATCATAATCAATCAATCATTCTGTTCCAGGTTATTTTGCTGATCATCGTGAAAAACATCCATTTGGTGAGTTGCCTTACCATTATTAATGTGATTACTTTTTTGTGTTTCATTTTGATGGTATGATAATTGACATCATTTTCATCTTTATTGTTACTGTAAATAGGGGGTGGGGTGTGTGGTTGGGAGGGCTGTAATCATTGTGAACACTGGAACTTTACTGGTAATGCTGAGATTGGATATACAAAGATTTCACAAATGCTTATTATTGATAATTGTATTATAAATATCATTCAAATATGTTTAGTAAGTGGTACTAGTTTGATATTTATGCAATAATTTAATCTTATTGAAATAAATGCTAACATTATTGACATTAACTATGAGAGTTGAAGTAATGAAGAAAGAAGAATTAATACATGGATTTTAATCTTTTTTATTTTAGCTCAAAGCGTTCAGATTAAAATTGGTGAGTTCTCTTTACCATTATTAAGTTGAAAAACATTTTGTTTAATCAAGTCAGTGGTGGCGCCAGGACCTGCCCGACGGAGGGGCTAAAGGCCCCGACAGGGGGGTCTAGTGGAGCGAATCGAGTCTTACTTAATGAAATACAAAAGTAAATTGCTCATTCAAAAAGATACTTTGAAATTTAAAAACCAGATATTTTATTAAGAAAATCCTTGTTTGATATACATAATGGGTTGTAAATTAATTTATGCTAATAATCTTTTTTTGTATTTTTGGCTTAAAAATTATATTTATGCTAATAATCTTTTTTGTATTTTTGGCTTAAAAAGTCCTGACTTCTTGTGTTTGTATGCCAACACCATGTTATTCCTATTAGACCGTGGGTTGAGTCTCAAAACTTGGCTTAGTTTACGAATTCTGTGACCCTCAGAGCCGGGCTACCTGCAATTTTTAACAACAATGTTAATAAAAATATGTTGTCATAAAATGATTGTCAGCAATCATCAATTTGTCAAAACTATACCAAAAAAGGGAAATTAATATTCAAAAAATAATATTGTTTGACGAAGGTAGTAGCCAATTACAGTATACATACCATACTCACGAAGAACTGAAGTGACGCTATTAGCCAATCACAAGCATTCTTGTAAATCCTGTAACTAAGTGTAAATAATGTCGCAAGTAAACTAACTAAAAGTGTGCAGTAATTTGAACGAAAGTTTGAATACGAAATAAGTATACCAGCCTTTATTAAATAAAATACTTTGGTAATATTTAGATTGTGGAAGTAGTAAATTTGCATACTATAGTTTTTTAGGCCAAGGGGTGGTGTAGTACTGATACTGAATGTGTATTGTAGGCCTATACAAAAGAAAGGGCAAGTTGTAATGTTTATTGACCTTGAATGAAAGAGAGGACGTAAATATAAATAGATATTATTTGGAATCTTTTCACATGTAGTCTAGCAGTTGCTTAAAATAAACAGTGTTAAAAGCACAATAATGGATGACCAATAAAAATGATCAGACTAGGCTTTTACATAAGGCCAGTCCATCACCCATGTATTGGGAGGCTAGTGTTTTTTGTTTTTGTTTTGTTTTTTGTTTTAACCATCAAATCTTACTAATACATTAGGTGCAAAAGGTATGACTATGTAATATCCTCTATAAAACAATATACATCTGTAGTACTATACTGCTGTGCAATAGCAATTTTCTATCTTTGAAACATGTGTAACATAAGAACAAAATCAGAATATTTTGAGCATGAAACTGAGCCTGGGAAAAATTTCACTTTTTTTTTATTGCTATATTTCACAATGTACTGTAATCTGTATTTAAATAGATATGCAGTGTAATAAAAAAAAAACATCTATTGTCATGCCTGTTGATTTTTGTTAAGCTGTTTGAAGACCTTGATAATAATATGGGGTTGAATGAATGAACGAATATTAAAAATGATGATTCTAATAATAAGATAGACGAATAAATGTTTAATATTAGCATACCTTAACCATTTTCTTTAGTCCCTGATCACTCACTACGTATATAAACCGAAGTACACAATTGTAAACACAACAAAATCATAAACCTACATAGAGCTGCTTCAAACATAACTGAGTATAAAGTTTAATCCAATCCATTTAAACCTGTCATAAATACTACTGTACAATGTAGCCCACCAGTACAACAGTTTAAATGAACTAGAAATAATGTTTTGCTGTATTCATTATCACTCATTGGCAAGTACTGTTTAGTTGTTGTTCTTCTTCTTTTTATATTGTATTGAAAAATACAATCCAATGCAATTCAAAAATTCCAATGCAACATTTTAAAAAGAAGAAAATAAATCTGTTCATACAAAGGAAAAACTTTATAAAATATAATATTATTTCTTAACACAGTATGACGTTATTTCAAATTACGTGACAACATTCATCAAACAGAAACAATTCTTCATAATACTTTCAATTGATTCATGTTTTTATCCACGACCTTATGATAGTGTTGAAATTTACTCAAGCGGAGGCTTATTATTGTGTGAAAAAACTGCCACCTAGCGGTTTGTTTTGATGTTGCACCTACTATAACAGCTTTGGTTTGGTGACTAATTCAGTCTATTAGTGATTTCTTACATTCTTCTATGCCCCACCCTGTGTATATTG